ACCACGGCCCTCGCCCGGCTCCTCCTGTGCATCCATTAGAAGCTTTGTGTATCCATCCTGTGCATCCATAAGAAGATTTGTTCTTATAACTGAAAGGACCCCATTAAAAGGTGGAAGCAAGGGGAAGTTCTGTGGCACCCTCAGAAGAGTCCGTCTCATCCAGTCTGATGTCCAGTGTAACACAGGCTATAGAATTTCACCTGCTGAATTTCACTGCTTCCTGTGAAGTCTTTGAATATGGCTCGCTGGCCCACTGGGTGATAAAAAGTTCATGATCTGGCCCCACATTCAAAAAGGTTGGACACCCCTGCTTTAGATGATTGTGCTTCTGGCTCACAGCATGGCATATTCTTCTGAAAGACTGCGGCTGCTGCACCGTGGTCATTGGAAATCCCCCTCTCTGCTGCCCCTCTGGCCTTCTCCACTCACCGTTTGTAGGATCCTGGACTTCCTCTTCCTGTCACCTGACCAGCTGGCACAGCTTGAGCCTTAACCCCTACTTGACTAGCCAGCTGTGACTGGAAGGTTCTGGATTTAAAGGGACCACCCTGTCTCTTAGTAACAGTGCTAGGGTTCCCTGTTACAGCAGTGTATCTGAGACTGAAGTTTGGTGGGATCAGAAACTGGAGTTCCAATTTTTGTTTTTCCTGATTTGAAATGGAGACCTAAACTTGGGCTTCCCATGTAACAGATGAGTTTCCTAACAACCAGGACTCTCATGACTCACATCAATTTCCATACTGAAGGCAAGATCTTTTTTTTGGTTAAAAGTTTCAGTTTTGATGAACTAACACATTCTGACAAAAAAGGTTGAAAGATTCCAGGCAGCCCTACTGAAAGGTTACAGTACTTCTGAATTGGTTATACATGAGGCTAGAGAATGAATTTACATCTTCTAGGACAATCAGATCAGAAAGGACCATTGTAAAATTGAGCCAAGCATTGTTCCAGAATGTTCAAGGAGTCAGCCATTTGTATTTGTCATTGTCACGGCGGGGCCCCTTAGGAGGGCCGTGATCTCCTCGAGGTCCCTCGCTCCATGTCAAGGCTGGCCCAAGACACCCTCCTATTCTCACCCGCCACGTCTTGCTGGTAAATATAAAGTTGGGAGGCTGCCTATGACTCCCTGGGCACGACTACTCGGGACCTCCGTCCCCGTGGTTCACCCGGACTCCTGTGGTCTCCCGGTATGATGGGTGCTTCCCAGGCACCCTAGCCTTATGGGCTGCGCATGGCTCCTACCAACCCCTAATACCACGCCCCAAGCCTCGCTGATGTACTGGAGGTTGGTCTGTCTCGATACACGCCCGTTCTCCCGGGCCTCCTCTGTAATCTAGCCCATTCCTGGGCCTCCCCTGTGGTCTAGCCCGCTCTGGGCTCTCTCTAATACTTAGTCCCTCACTCAGGACTCTCATCAAGCCCACTCTGGGCCTTCTCTAAAGGTGTGATCCTGCTCCAGGACCCTCAAGCGGGCCTCCGGTCCCTCAGGCTAATCGCACGGGTACCCTTTCTGATCCGGGCTCGCTGTGCCACTACTCCCTTTTTGCAAAGGGGCAACCGCAGCACCTTGCCTCCGTCCGAGGGGTGTTGCCGCACTAGCCTACGGCCGGGCTCGCTACGCCCGTCTCGGGCTCCTCAATAGGGCGCTCCCCACTCACTGTGCCACTACTCCCCGTCCTCTCAAGGGCAACTGTAGCACCTTGCCTCTGTCTGAGGGGTGTTGCCGCACTAGCCTACGGCCGGGCTCG